AGGGACCCAGCCCGTCGCTAACGGGCGGTCCGTGCTGCTCTCGGTTTCAGCAGCCGCGTTCCACCGAACGGCGTGTGATGTAGCGTGTTGTTCAGTGGAGCTGGTACAAAGGCCCAGCAAACAACTAGATGATCAGTTAATTCACCTCGACTTTGTGTGCCGAGAGGCAGAAGGGATCTAGCAGGCAGTGTCTGGCAGTAGAAGATTAAGGCAGTTCCTCAGAAAACATTGCACTGAGCTTTCTGGACCCCACAAGCCAGAGTACATCTGGCAACTGCTTACTGCGGTTCTGATGGGCTTGCATACGGAAAGGAGACAATGATTATTGTTCTGACCTGTTAAAGCAGAAATTGGCCTTTACTCAAAGAAATTCTGCAAAGCTTGTGGATAACAAGATGAAACAAAATACAGATCTCTACCTGAAGCAGAGAAAACATTGATTAGCAGCCATGATGGTCAAAGTAGATCATGTGATTCTGTAGCACAGTAAAAGTATTAACTACTAATACACTTTAAAAATTACTCTCTAGCTGAACCGGTTGTGAGGAAGGAACTTCATAACATGCCTGATGAGTCTGTGTTCATCTACTGCCTAGTAGGAGACAGAGCCTAGTAAGTAACTGTTTTAATGCCAACAACTGATAGAACTTTGCTATTTGTGGACTGGAGGTTAACTTACCTGTTGGAACAGTGGACTGAACTGTCCTGTTCTGCAAGGAATCAAGCATTTTTTTGAGTTTATACCATCTCTAACATGCTATCTGCATGCTTGTTCTGATAAGTAGGTTGGGGAGGTGCAAGGCAAAGACCTTTGAATCATCCTTTTGAAAGAATTTTAACAGGCTAACTTTAAACTGCACCTCAACAAGCTGTGCTTAACCCTTTCTTTCTGAACAGCTGGAAGGATCCCAACAATGAATTCAGGAAGAATCTGAAACTAACAGGAGTGCCTACACTACTTAAATATGGAACAGTAAGTGATTTGTTGTATGTTCTAGATTTACAGGTATTCAGATGGCAAACTGGCTGTAAATTAGTCGTGCATATTTTGATACCCCCTTGTTTAAAAAGAGCAGACAATTAGGAACAGCTCTTGCTCCCATCCATGCACTCTTCCTGCCTCAAACAGTTCCTCAAGAGAGAACCACTCTACTTTCTGTATAATAGTGTCTACAATAAACACATAGTAAAGAAAATATGTACACTTAGCACATAGTGGTTAGGCACAGAGAAAATTCTTAGCAACATATTGTTAGCTTTCTGACTTGCAGCTCCTCGCATTTTAAAAAATACAAATGCTGAATTAGGGGAGTGAAACAAGGGTATGTGCAGTGTAGTCATGATTCAGAGACTACAGCTCAAGTTTTAACTTGTGCATATTATTTAAATTTAGGTTATTTAAATGCCTCTTGCAAGGCCAGAAAACCCTCAGGGATTTTTCAGTTATTCGCACCTTGCTCGCTCGACCCCGCCCTTCACCCTCCCTGGAAAAACAGTTGCTACCGTATGGCTAATGTTAGTATGTACAAATGGCTCTAGTCTAGAACAGGTTTTTGAATTGCCCCTAAAACATCTTAACTTTTTTTTCAGCCTCAGAAGCTGGTTGAAGAAGAATGTTTTAAAGCAGAGCTTGTGCGTATGTTGTTTACTGAAGATTAAATCCTCCGGTAGTCAATCATTTACGAAGATATTAATCTCAAGTTATTTGCAGTGTCCTTTCAAGGAATTCTTAACCTTTCTCAGAACTTTCGTGGTTAATTACTTCAGACTAGTCAAGATAAATGTCCTTAAATTCTGGGTACAAACCTTCCACTAAAATCCTGCAACAAAAAACTGTATCTTTCATCAAATAAACTTGAGTTTGCAAACAGCCTGTTTTCAAAGGAGCCGAGATCATGTTATGAACTGAGAGAGCAGCCTGCAATTACTGAAGAGTAAGACTTAACTGCTAAGTTATACCTTTAACAGTGAATAAGGGGGGTGGGGGTAGGAGAAACAGAAAAACCTGCTTATTCTTCCTAAACCTGACAGATTTCTGCCAGAGATATTTAATGGCTTATCTGTTCAGTCTAAGTATGATAAGCTGAAGGCAGACAGTTCTGGTGTCACTGATCACCTGTTAGGGGTTAACTGTTGTAGTACGTGCTCCTACAAGGATATGAAATGTAACATGAATGTAGCACAAATACAATCTAAAATATAAAAATTACATCACTGACAGCTGCCAAGATCTGTGTTCTTACAATAAAAACTACACAGGAATAAATGGCAAATGCTTCTCCAATACTGCAAGTGTTTACACCTCTTTTCGTAACACAAATTGTTTTCACTACATGTACTACAGAGAAGCCCAACAGCAGCCACTGTTTCACTGGCAGAAACCAAGACTGAAGTAAGCTGACTTTAATGGAACAGATACAGCTACAGCCTATTTCTTTCTGTTGAGTATCTGCAATGTTTATTATTACTTATCTCTGCTCCACTCCTGCAGTCCTTGTCACAATTTTGACTTCTATCTCCAAACAGAGCTGTAAGGAAAACTCTGTAAGATCCCCAGCAGCAATGTTTACCAGTTAAACAGAAATGACAAGTAGTAACTCAGCTCAGTTTCAAGGCAAAAATATGCAATTTAGATTTTTGTACAATATAATCACTTCAAATTTGCTCATCCTGCAATTGTAAAAAGTAGTACATGAGGGAGTTCTTAGCCACACTTTCACACACATCATCATTCTCCAGGGAAAATGCCTCCTAAGAACACACTTCTGAGCTACGCTTTGTGTTAGATACTTAAATGTCAGTGCCCTCAAAACTATGTTCTGTTTTCAAAATCAAGATGAATCAATAACTACAGTGTCATGCTCTTACAAAATTGTCCATGCTACAAAATAAATTGCAGAAGTAGGTGTTTTATCAGTCTTGTATCTTTAAAGAAGTTGATAAAAACCCAGTCACTTGATAAATCAAAAATTAAATGTACACACACCCACAGCCAAATGGAAGGGTTCATTCCTCTCTTCTAAACAGTTCAACTGACACAAAGTACACTTTATCATCACTCTTCCATATGCTTTTCATTTTACAGAGGTGCTGTTTTGTTGCTGCTGTTCTGCAAGTGCTTGCTGGAGGCGCATTCTTTTCCGTGAGTAGTGCTGCCAGTGAAGAATCTGTTGCTCATCAATAAATTTAGCACACTGAGCATTTACCAGTTCTTTGCGGAAATGTTCATATTGGAGCAGCTCTAACATATGCAAACATTGAGGATACCTGGATTAAAAATTAATAATACAAATGTTTACAAGGCACACTAAAATTAGAGTTTCCAGTAATTCTGCAGTTCATTTTAGTTTTATCATGTATGTGCTTTACTCAAGTATTGAACCACTTAAGACTGTACATATTCCACACACTGTAACTTAATAACTTCAGTATTAAGCCAGAAAACAAGGAGTCCTATAACAGTTTATAAATGGATATACATGTTTGTTTAGAGTAGCTTTTCTAATGGCTAGATTTTACTAAAGCAAATACGTAACAACTACAATATCTGTTTCCAGAGCTTATTTAAAGAAGATAACCAAGAACTGTTCTCCCAAAATTTGAAGGATTTTGTACACTCAGAAAAATGCAAAGTCATCCTTTGTTTCGTGTAAGCATCAATAATGCAAAATCACTCTTAAAACGTACTTACTGGGCCTAACTGAAGTAGTTTTGTACCATAGTGTTCAATAGTTTTACTTTAAACAAATGCTGAAGTGCATATATAGGCTGCAAAAGGAAGATTCCGTGCACGACTCATGAAAGACAAGTTTTATAATTTTGCCTATTCTTGCTACATCTGGACTGTTGGAAACAGGAAAATTTATGTTGCATATAAACATAGTGGGGAGGACAGAGGCAAGGTGAAAGACAGAAAACAAATACTGACATACTGCTGTACAGTATATAACAGAAGGTAAACATCACATCATTAAAATGCAGCAACCTAAGTGATTTTAACACTTACTTCAGGTATTTTGCGTATTCAGGTTCTTTCCAATACAGTAAATATTTAAGATAATTTACAAAAGCTTTGTCTTTGAAGTAGCCTCTTTGTGCAAGAACTGAAATAAAATGACAAATAAGGAACTGTCAGTTGCGGATGCTTGAAAAAAATCTGCCAAACTTGAAGACTATGTATTCGTAAAACTATACAATAAGGCACTTTAGTCAGAACTTTACCATTACAATCAAATTTTCATAATTCAAAATGAGAAAAAAAACAGGGAAAAATGCATTTTATGTCAATATACTAGGCATAATAAACTAGTCTCATCTCCCTTACAGTATGTATCTTTTATACAACAGCAAGGAAAAGAACAGCTTTTTGGCTGCAGCATCAAAACTGGCAGGGAATTCAAGGGAATTCAGTATAGTACCCAAAACTATTATTAACATTAGTACAATTCTGTTTTCAGATAAAGGAATACTGTTAACTTGACATGACTTTTTAACTACAGGCTTCTTTTTTTTTTCCACCAGATGGATGCACTTTTTTTATTTCAACCAATAAAACATTTTGCATTTTAAAAACCCACCTATTAGAAATCTAGACAGATTAAATTATTTACAGACTACCTTTATGCTGTGAAAGACCCATTCCCTTTTCTTTGTTTAGCCCTCTCTCTCCCTGTTTAACTTTACCAGTAATAATAAACACCATTAAACGATATTAATTCCTCAGGATCCTGATATTTACTTTAAAGTACTCACAGTTGAGGTAATTTGGATTTGCCAGACATTGAACAAACTCTAACTCCAGCTGGAACCGAAGTCGATTTCCTGTATCATCTGATACACAAGAAAAAACAGTAAGAATTGGACCCACACAGTACATTTGAAAATAATTTTCTCAGTTTAAGCCATACAAATTGAGATAATGTGTTTTTATAGGAGAAAAAGCAGTTAACTCCCCATAATAAACATGGATTCATTTAGCAAAGCCTTTACATGAATCAGTGTTGGGCCTGCATTAATAAACATGCTGAGTTGTTTTTTTTACAGCCAAGCAAGCACAAAGAATGGAGGAATACCCACTGAGACTTTGTTCAGAGTGAAGGGAAAGGGAAGAGCAAGAAGCCTGGAATATTTGTACAGGGAAAATTAGGAAGGTAAGAATAGGAAACTGTGAACAGTCACTAAAATCTTAGTTGTATGTATTTTTAAAAGTAGCGCAAGGCAGCTTTTTTGCAGAAAGATATCTTGATCTAGTATGCTAGTGAGAATACTGATCTAGTATGCTAGTGAGAATACTGCAGCGTTCTCACAGTACAGTGTACACCAATCACTAGCCGTATACCACTGGGGTTGATACGGGATTTGGTGCTGTCTGATATCTTTATTAATAAACTAGATGATGTGACAGACTGCACATACATCAGGTTTGTAGATTATATAAAACTGGGAGGAGCGGCTGAAGCATGGGAGGGTTGCGCAGCCATTCAGAGGGACCTCAACAGGCTAGAGGAACAGGCCAGCAGAATTTTATAAGTTCAACAAAATGAAATGCAAAGTCCTGCACCTGGGGAGGCATAACCCTGTGCAACAGTGCAGGCTGAGGGCCAACCTTCTGAAAAGCAACTTTGCAGAAAAGGACGTGGGGTCCTGGTGGACAAGTTGAATATGACCTGCAATGAGATGTAGCAGCAAAGAACCTCAACAGCATCCTGGGCTGCATTAGGAAAAGCAGTGCCACCAGGTCAAGGGAGGGGATTCTTCCCCTCTACTCAGCGCTGGTGGGACATCATCTGGTGTGCTGCATCCCGTTATGGGCTTCCCAGGCCAAGACAGACATGGATATACAGCAGCAAATCCAGCAAAGGAACACAAAGATAATTAAGGGACTGGAGCTTCTGATATACAAAGAGGCTGAGAGAGCTTGGACTGTTCAGCTTTGAGAACAAAAGGCTTGGGGATGATCTTATCAGTGTGTACAAATACGTGATGTGAGGGAATGAAGACAGAATCAAACTTCTCAGTGGTCCCCAGAGAAAAGAGAAAAGGCAGGGGGCACAAACTGCAATACAGAAAATGCCTCTGAAAGAAAAGTTTGGGGGTTTGTTGGGGTTGGTTTGGGTTTTTTTTGGGGGGGGGAGGTGGGGTTGGGGGCTTGCTTGGCTTTCCCTTTTTTTTTTTTTTTTTTTTTACTGTGAAGGTAATTGATCATGGGAACATGTTGCCCAGAGAGGCTGTGGAATCTCCATCCTTGGAGATACTGAAGACCTGACAAGGTCCTGAGCAATCTTGGTCTAGCTGACCCTGCTTTGAGCAGGGGGTTGGACTAGATGATCTCCAAAGGTTCCTTTGAACATGAACTATTCTGAAATTCCGCCAGTCCCATCTTGACAGTTGAAATGTGGAAGAACAGCCTACTTACTGGAACCCAATACGAAATCAATGCTGGGTACTGACAGTTATTTGCCTGCTTAGCAGTGATCATAAGAAATTAACTTGATTTCTGCATTTATGCCCATGACTATACAATTGGCAGCTACCATACCAAACAAGAGGAGTAAAGAATGAACCAACTTTCTTATTTTTAGAATCACTCCATCAAAGTATCTTAATTTTTTTCCTTTTTCATTGTCACGGTATTGTAGAAAAACATGTCTCTCTGCTACTGATGTAAACAATGTTATTTGATCCAGGTTGGTCGTTACAGATTTCCCCCTCACCTATTTTCACCATATCACCTTATTTGTACTAATTTTGCAAACTATCAAATACTTCATTGAAAACATAAGCTCTCAGGGATCCTGACAGGAAAAAATAAAATCCATGTAAGTGATCATTCTACATTTAAAATTCTTTTTTACAAACTACCAAAGTAATTTTTAAATGTTTAAAATAGCCCACACTGCCTTTGGTTCTTCAAATTTTTTGCAGCATCAACAAAGACTAAATAAAATACTTTAAGCAGGAGTAATTATTTATGTAATATTTATAAAACTTATGACATAAAAATTAGGTTATAGTAATTTGACAAATTCTGTTTATTATTATATTTTAGTGACACATCTCTGATTCCTTATTTACTCCATCTCATACCTCAGAGCAGTTCCATACTACACAGAAATGGCTACGTCCTTAAAAAAATAAACTTGAACAGGGAATACAAGAGCAGTACAATGCAAGTTGAGAACACGGCTAACAATGAGGAGAACATGTAAGTCAACCATCATGAACACAGAGCAAACCCTTATTGATGGAAGACGGGGCTCTCAATTCTCAAGGTCTGCAGTTAGCACTAGAGACCACTCATTCACAGGACTGTGAGGCCAACTTTCAGTTCCGCGCTGCAGCCATCAACAGACCTTAACACGAGCATATACGTGGTTCAGAAAACGCTGCACTTGAACACACCTTGCTGTTTTCTAAAAAGCTACGCAGGCAGAGCAACTAGCCAAGAGCTCGTGGAAAACTGTGAAAACCAATCCTTTCCACAGGAATAAAGATGAAGGATAGACCAGGATTGACTGAAGGCTTTGTGCTCCTAGATTGGCAGCTCTAATTCCTGAATCAAGGGCAAATGTTAAAAATTAGGTTGGAGTGTCATCCGTGGCAAAAGCTATTTAAGAGCTCTGGGAAAGCGGGGTTTAGCTCCAGCACGGCGGACGCCCTCTCGCCGCCTCCCCGCCCGCGGGAGGATGAGGGCTGCGGCGGCTTCCGGGAGCGCCACGGAC